TAGTGTGTAAGTCAGAGAAGGGACAGGTGTTTGACCAAAATACTATCTGGTACTTTTAACCCCCAGAGCATTGCGAGACTGTGCCTGCAAATGAAAAAACATTTTGAATCCTGATTGGTGGGATAAGTATTCCACCTTCATTCCAATTTACAACAGTCGGCATTCAGTTCTGTAAAGGTTAAACACAAAAATCTATTGGTGTGCACATTATACATATATACATTACAACTACATACAGTTGTTTATGACCTATAACACTGAGTTTAACACTAGACTGTAACCATCCTCAATACAACTTGTACAGAGTGATGCGAATCCCACCACGACTTCAATTGCAGTTTTCAATGTTGCCAGAGAGATTCATCACTCCAATCTTTTTGGTAAAAAAATATTACATTGCTTTACATTAAAATCACCTTCAAGCACCTGCTCAGCTTGGGAGCCCATGTTAAACGTGTTACTGATGAGATGACTGTGGTAAAACAAGCTGTGCTGAAGTTATGATATTTCAAAAACCTAAAAGGAACACTCTGTTCCAATAAAGGACATTACAATCCTATCACCAATCTGTCAAACTAGCCTACATGGTTAAAGAAAAAAGTTACTAGGTCCCTAGCACTCTTAGACAAAAAAGTTACCTTCAGAGGAGGTAAAATAGATGACGTATCCACTAGTTTATAATGTAAATTGATTACATTATGAATTACACTATATTACAAATGTAATTTTGTTGTATATTTTGCTCAGTTTCAGGAGCTGATCATTTCCTATTTACACCAATTCATAGGGACACATTTGCACGTCTAAGAGAGTTAGTCTGAAACAATTGCCATTGTTACTCATCTCCAGGCAGCAAATGCAACAAAGATAATGCTCAATATATATCTTAATATATATATTTTTAAAATCCACCATTAGCATGAATATGAAACTATGTAAACAACGCACTACTTTTTCAGCAGTCTACTTTCTAAATACTGCAAAAATTGCACATAAAATGCTGTTTGTCAGTTGATCAAACAAAACAAACAAGCGATTGTTATAAACTTAGATTTTGAACCTTATTTCTACCCCCTTCCCCTTTACTGTTAGTAAGTTTCTGTTTCCAGACAAACCTCTGGAGCGACCATGTCACCCTCCTCCAGAACTCCATTCCCCAATCGCTTTATAATACCTGCATTTGATCTAACACTTGATCACCTCGTTGAGACATCTCAGAACGCTTCACAGAATTGGCATTGCTTTCCCTCTCCTTGCCCTTAAAGTTCTCTTAGAAACATATCTCTTCAGCTGTGGCAATATCCTTACATCTCCTATTTTCACTGCTTGGTGTTCCTATTTTATCTGTCAAACCCTTGGTTTTAGATGGAAGGTGATATACTATAATGTGCCAATTGTCAGTGTAGAGTGATAAGCAATCACAACCTTGGGAGAATGTTGATAGAGAAGGTTCAGAGTATCTTTCCAACAGATGTCACCAAATGTGAAGAGACTGAATCGCAAACAGAGGTCGAAAGAAAACAAAAAGACATGTAAATTTAAAATGGGTACAACGGATTGATTGTGGGTTTTGCTGGAAGTAGAAAACTGAAAATACGCACCGTGTAGGTCAATTGTACATTTACTCATTCTTCAACACTCCGTGAGCAAAGGCCTAATGGGCATTGTACTGTTTATTTCTGTCTTCTGCAAATTTTGCCTTTCCCAGCCTTACTGCAATAACAATGCTCAGCAGCTAGGAAGTACTTCATGCCTTTGAGAGGAAATTCGGTTCTCAATCTCAGGGCAGTGCTGGTCAAGTCAAAAGCATCACATTTCAAAACAGGTCTAAACATTGGAAGGGGATTGGGAAAAGTATGACAATAATCTCACAATCAAACATGATCATTAATTCATCAATTATTACAACAACAACCTGGAGTTATGTAAAGCACCTTGGGACGTCCTCCCGACGTGAAAGGCGCCATACAAATGTAATTTTGTTGTTGTTGTTGTGTAACACTCTTCATGTGGGGTAGGGCCTCAGAGCACTGATAAAACATGGCAGATATTAATGAGTGTAAACAGATAATATTGCGCCTAATACTTTCCGGAATTCGGTAAGCGGGATGTGTCCCTCCAGTAAGAGAAAGAGAGAGAGAGAGAGAGAGAGCGCATTCCATTTCAACAATCTATCTCTGGGATAGATTAGGTGGGATATTGTGGAAATCTCAGCTTGGTTTGAATGCTCTTAAGCTGACCAAAACAATATAGAGACATTGGTAAAGATATTTGCTCCAGCTTCCTGACCGCTGATCCAAAACTGATCAATATTTAATCTAATTTTGCTACAAAACATTCAGATTATGGTGAATGTTACGCTTCTGCTCTGCCACAGACCGATAAGATGCTCCTATTCAGCAAATGGCGATCAAACAATTAAGTTAAATACAAGGATCAGCAGCTGTGTTGGCCAAATGCATTCATACCAAATAAGAACCCACTGAGATATCTGAGCATAATCCTAAATAATTCTCAGCGATACAAAATACACCTCAAAATAGTCATGAATGCAATACATTTTCACCTGCTACTGACCTTGTCTGTAGAAACCACAAACTTATTCAAACGCTGCATTTTTTCCATCAAAGTTAATGCAGTTTTGAAGTACTTGGCCACATTTATAATAGGATAATATCGCTAATGCCTTCTAAATAATCCCTCCTCTGTGCAGTAAACTATGGTGAACCACCACACATTCTGAGCAATAGGCTAAACTCAATTGTTCAGAATAAAGTAGAAATCTATGGTATCAAACCAATTCCCACTCATTTAAAACTAGCTCAGCCATCAGAATTAGCATTTTTATTGAATGGTCCACAGCAATAATATACAATTAAGATACTCAAAATCGACACAGACTTTGTGCAACGTCTGTATTTCTAAGGAATTTTAATGAAAATACATGAAAATTAAAGCTTCTGAGAATAAAAATACAAACCCCCAGAAGTAGGCAAATGCATTGTTATTTTGACGAAGCTTATAAGGGTTTACATATGATCTTGTTAGAGTGTTTTTAATAAAAACAGAGTATGACAGTATTGTTTAGATATAAAAATATTCCGAGATCCCATGACACATCGATCAATAAACCTCATAATAATCTGATCTCCCTTCAGTTATTTGTTTGCCTCACACATAAGAATAATCCTTGCATTTGATAGAGCGCATTATCACATTTTCGAAATGTCTCAATGTGCTTCACAAAGTATTGTAAAGAACGAAATGATACCAAGGTATACTCAATTAAAATATATCTGTTTGCATTTTTGCTTTGTATTTTGAAAGTTATTTTAACATCGATAGACTCCCTGATCAGTTGCATGCAATCTTATTTGAAGTCTGCACCTCAGCCGGTGGTACCCTACATGTTGTAACTATCTGAGTGTTGGAGGGCACTGAACGTGACCACGGCGTTGCTTCTATTCACACACCTTGAACACAAAATGTAATTCTATTTCTTACTTCGGTGAAAATCAAGCTGCATAACTTGGTGCTTCTCCAGCCCACCCTTCAGGTGTCGCACACTGCAGCCTTGCCATTGCCTACTGCAGTGGTGGTGCTTTCACAGAGCCTGAGTTTTACAGGAGGACTATCTCCTATGTCATGACATCCGGCCTCGTGAGGCCAATGGGCCTTGTCTGCATATAATTGGGAATTCCTGATCTGGAAAGCTTTCATGCAAAGATTTTGTCTGCAAATTTGCACAAAAACTTTTTTCTGTAAATGGAGACATTTTAATGAGGGATCCAGATCTGGGATTAGACCCAGAGCCTAATTGTCATGCTTTCTCAGTGTTTCATGGAGTCACCAAATGGCTCACACTCACAATCTTTGTAAGGAACTCACCCCCTCACAGCGGCCAGCCAATTTCTTTCGTTTCATGACATGCTTTTACACTGAATGTTTCTCAGCTGTTTTCATTTCTCTAATCAGAGCACTTATTTAGGAAAGGTAGGTTGCCATGACATTTTAAAGAATAATGAATAAATGGTGCCAGGGCACACTAAGCATTTCTGAAATAAAAGGGATTGGCATCATTCTTCTTAAACAATGAAACCGATTTTTTTTCCTTCCAGGGAGTGGAATCTGCCAGCAAATGCGAGGCAGTTACATCATTTATCCACAAACGGCAACAGCTTAGGCAACAGTCAAAGCCTGGAACTGAATGGCAAACTGGCTTCACACACTGTCCTTTCACCTCTGGGACCTGGGATTGAATCCAACCCCATTACGATGAGATTAAAGTCTCCTCTTTTCCCTTAAAGCTACTATGTAAAGGTTTTACACCAAAGGAATCTGAGCAGTCTTCTCCCAGCTCCTTTGAGGTGAGAAGAATGCATTGCAGAAAGAAACCGGGTTCAGCATTAATTGGCAAATTTTGTGCTGAAGCCTGATGGATGTTTGGGGTTGATATTGGAGTGGAACAAGGAGAAATCCTCTTTTCAGATTAAAGGGAAAGTATTTTGGTGGAACGCAGCTCTACATGCTCTTCACCATGCTGGCACGGGCTGTCGAAATGGAACAATGCTTCTTTCTCCAGCACTGACATCTGTCACATTGGTGAGTGCAGAATTTCATTAGAAACGGGGCCTTACTATGCCTTGGAATTTTCAAGCAATAATCCTGAACTTCAAACCCCGATGACTCATTAAAATCAATTCATTTGCAGTAAACGATTCGAGTGCAACTTGGAAACAACTTCTTTGCAAGTGAAGTCCTGGGTGAAGAACTTGGTTCTGAGACAGTAACACAGCAGCGAGCTCGCATTTTAATGTCTTGCTTTCTCGAGGGCTGATCTGGCTGGCTGTTATTGCAGCTGAAGATGACAGGGTCATCTGTTGATCCTGGGAATCATGCACTGACTGACACATAGCATTGCTTGTTATGCTTCACAGATCACCTGCATATTGATGGAATAAATCCTCTGCAGTTCATGTAGCCCACCAGAGCGTGCTCACCTTGACCTTCTCAAGCAGGTAATCAATGACACCCAAAATGTTGACAAAATCAGAAATGGTGAAAAATTGTTGCAGTCTGCAACTATTGATCTGTGGAACTGGCCGGATCCCCTGACAGACCAGCGCATCACTCCATCCTGAATGGAGGTCCACATGTTTCTATGGCTAATACCCAAGATATCCCCAACAAACAACTGAAATAATCCAATACGAATTAGCTCAGAACAGCTGCAACCTTCACAGCTAAAGGCAAAGGCAGAACCAGCACAGGACAGACCCAGGTCCTTTTTCTACCATTTGACAACACTCAATAATTATAACCCTGAATAGCCTTCATCTCCTCTGACTCTATCCCTCGAGCAGTCCCAGGTATGTCACTCTGGTCCTGTAGTCCCTCTCCCTGAGGTTTGATCTTTTCCTGAAGTTTCGGCAGTTGTGTGCCCTAGGGTCCTAATTGGCCCACATCTCACGTGGATGCTGTGCACGAAAAGTTTCTGCTCTTGAAAAGTAGCAGTGCTACAGGTTCAGCACAAGTGCACAAGACTGAGGTTGGAGGTAAGACAGCACTGACTGACACAAGTAAAGAGAGAGTCAAGGAATCAGCTCACAACTAAATTTCCAAGTGGTTCCTTCAAACAGACAGACCAGCTTAGAGTTTTCAACGGAGCACAAGTGAATAAGGCCAGTGGGATTTGCACACGCAACAGTTATAGTGCCAAATCACACTTGTTTCTGAAACCATTTCCTACGGGGGCTGGTGCTGTACGGGCAAAGTGCTGTCAGGAGCAGAAATCCAACACAACACGTCCCATTTTCACTTACAAATTTTGTGGCGAATCGTTGCCAAAATTTCCCCAAGAAACAAATAACAATAATAAATAAATAATAATAATTTGGTCACTTAATCCACAATTGTTGGTGGGAAGCTGCCGGATGCAATTGGCTGCCGCATTTCGCCCACAAAACTGTCGCTACACATTACAGTATATTCTGTGAAGCGCTTTGAGACGTTTCGAATTTGTAATAAGGCGCTGTATCAAGTGCAAGGATTATTATTATTATTATTATTATTATTATTTAAATGCAGCATTAGTTGATGAGGTTAATTGATGTTTTGTTGAAAGCTTTGCAGCACCAATTCTGACAGTGGAAAACAGGTGCTTCAAAATGTCTCCAATTGATGAATACGTCACCCACCGCACAGCGCATCTATTTCTGGATGTCATTATATGGTTGTCAAAATTTTTAATTTCCGATTCATTCACATCAAAGAAGTTAATTCTTCACGATGAAAACAACGAGAGTTCTTATACTCCTGTAAATATGATCCACTATGACAGGAGTTTGGATACACAAAGCTGCTATAAAATGACAACCTGCTTCAGGAAGCAGAATATCAAAAATTCAGGGCACCGCAATGTACTTTGAGAGCAGAAAAGATCTAAATCTAAACTGAGTTTGCCAGATTTTTATCATGTGGTTTGCCTGAATGCACAGCCGTAACAATTATTTAAGTCAGGTTTAATAAAGTGTATCTTTCTCATTGTCGTTCCTTTCAGGTGAAATCTGGAGTTCAGAACTCTGCTGCTGTACAGAAGAATTGAGACAATAATCTAGATAAAGTTTGTTTGTGCTGACAACACAAATTCATCCCAAAATTACTGTTTCACTGGTGTCAGCCTGATAACACAGATAAAGCTACTTTTTTGTCAGTACAACGTCTGAATAGGATCTTTTTTTTATAAAAGAAAACATACAATACATACAAATCTTACACATTATCAGCGCTTGGAACTTAAACATGGTAGAAGTCGTCTTGCCATAAACTTGCCTGAACATTTACAGATGTAGCTGGCACATTGAATAAATATTTTCAACCACTATTAGGAACAAATATTAATTATAAAATTGTGCCCAGAATCTGAATATTGCTTTTATCAATCATCTCCACATGGCACATGTGGTTGTAGGGGACTATGAGGGTTTTACGACGGTTTTTGGGGAAGAAAGGGTTTCCTGGGCATTCAACCTTTGGCATTGAGCATAGCAAATCCCACGTCAGGACTTTGAACTCATAATCCAGGTGCCGTTTGGTGAATGAGACGATAAACCCAGGTCCCCTCTGTTCATGTAGATAGTGAAGATCCGATGACACAAAGGGAAGGGAGTTTCTGGCGGTATCCTGGCCAAGATGGCTGTTTGTGGGATATTGCTGTGTGCAAATTGGCTGCCAGTTCCACCTGCAATATACCCAGTCACTACATGTTACCTTGAGATATCCTCCCAACATGAAAGGCAGCGTATCAAATGTAAGGATTATTATTACTATTACTTGGGGCAATGAACAACAAATACTAAGGTACAATTAACCATCAAATCAGGAGTGAAGGAAATTAGGACAGAGCTGTGGTAAGAAATTCTGCACTGTATGAACTGGGCTTAAATTAAATTAAATTAAATCAAACAAGAGGGTGAAACCCTTGGACTGTGGCCGTCTCCATCATTGTCATCCAAACTATGATATAAATGGTTAACAGAAGTACTTGGCCAAGGTCAAACAAGTCGTGGCACAGATTTCTGTCCCATAGGATAGAATCCTAACAGAACAGCAGAGACCTGGAGTTCAATGATCTTCTGCTAGGCGTGTTTAGAGTGAATACAGTACAAATTAGAATTCCTACTCCTTTGTTATATGATAATTTCTACACCCAGCAAACGCCTATACTCTAGCAGCATAAATTTGGCACAATAATTGCACTGTGGAGCAGCCAAGTGTACTTTGGTTTAACTGCTGCAGCTCTTCCAAAAGTTACTTAGGCCAGGCCTCATTATTGCAGCTGTGCTGTGTTGGATCCGATACAAAAGATGAAATTCTTGTAATGTAGGAGCCCAGAGAGCACTATAACATCAATGCCGTGGCTTGCACTGAAAATACTCCTATAAGTTTAACAGTGCCAAAACATAACATTCAGCCTCATGCATTAATGGAGATGGACTGATGAATGGCTTGCTATTCAGACATCATTCATTCACTGCATTCTTATGAGCTCGTACATTCTCAGAAATATATTAACAAAAGTTCAAATCACAATTGTCGAATTCTAAAATCAGGCTTTAACGTCAATAAAACATGTTTCTCGGTCACCGTGTTTCTGTGTGATTTATAAATCTGTTAATGAAACTACTTTCGTTCCTTTCACTCGCACTGCAGTGACACCTTCTTGTGCTAGAGTGACTACGTGTTAATTGAACTGAAATAATGATATCATATATTACAGCACCTCTTAAGTGTAAATTGTATCACCATTATTTTATCTTCAATGCAATTCCTATCAAAAGCAAATCAGCAACAATAAATTCTGCTTTATTTCGGCATTTGGACAAAATTTTGCATCCCGTATACGTCATTTCAAAAGAACATAAGAATGTGCTGGTGAAAAAAGACCGAGGTCCATCCAGTTCGCCTTCCACCATCCTGGCAGCGGCTTGACATGTTGTATCCCAAACTATATACTGTATCCCCAGACATTATTTTCTAGCAGAAATCTATCCAATTTGTTCTTATAACAAACAACATTTTTTGCTTTCACCGTTTCCTTCAAAATCTTGCTTCTTGACTGCAATCACATCGCCCCTCATTTGATTGTAGGTCCCAAATCCAACACTTTGATCTGAGATCCTATAGTCCTAACAATAGTTTATTGCATTGTCAGAATATTGGAGTTCATGGATTTGTGCTCAAATGTTTAATACATTAGATTATGCCTTTTGAAAATACTGGCTTTCAAAATTCCTTTAAGTGAGGTGATCTATTATAATATAATAATAATATAATAATAATAATAATCCTTGCATTTGATATAGCGCTTTTCACGTCGGGAGGACGTCCCAAAGCGCTTCACAGAACACACTGTAAAGTGAATTGACTGTATATTTGTGGGCGAACGCGGCAGCTATTCTACTCCCTCTATGAATTTAAGAGTTGAACAATTTTTGAGCTAAAGGGGGTCTGACTTGTAAACATATAAATGTATTTATTTGCTGAAATCTGGATCCAGCAGCTATTCTGCAATGAGATATTATAGAACAGGTTTAAACATTCCACAATATACAATTATACTGTCATACTGATTAAATATATACATAATATACACACCGAGAGCAAAAAAAAAAGGATTTGGTAAGTGCCACAGGCAAGTAATCTAATCTGAAGCGGAAAAAGAATATTTATATCAGCAGGTAGTAAAACATGTTCCTTGGAGTACAATAAGGTCAATAAACCTATCCACATAGCATTTAATATGATGCTCGTGAAATACCCTTTAATCTTAATAAATTCTTACAAAAAGTGGATGAATTCAGACGAACCACAGATTTTGAAAACTGTATTTCAAAGGCTTGAATGTCATTAACTATGTCAAGGAGTGTTCTGTTTATTTAAAGAATTTTGTGCTGAAATGAATTACTGCACGGCTTCTATAGTTGACCTTGATTTGTGTGCAGCTTTGGATCATAGTGTGGTTGTGTGTCCGCACAGGAAAGAATAGCCCAATTAAAATTGGACTTAAACAACTGGTGCAGGAGTCATGGATGCTTAACCCGACCACAAGTTCATAAAATTGTTTCAGACAAAGAAAACCCTGCAATACATTTGATCTTACGCTTCCAGAATCCCCACCCTCCCACATCAGCGGCAGACTGTTTCTTAAATGAACAAAACACAAAATACTGCAGATCCTGGAATCTGAAACAAAAACAGAGAGCTGGGAACACTCAGCAGGTCAGGCAGCATCTATGGAGAAAGGAAAGTGAGTCAACGTTTCTGGTCCACGACCCTTCGTCAGAACGTTGACTCACTTGACTCTCTGTTTTTGTTTCTTAAATGAGTCCAGTATCCTGGCCTCAACCACTTTTCCTGTCAACCTGCTCCTGTCATCAATTCGCTTCAGAGTAAATAAATATTTTCTGTCTGTCCCACTGTATTTTCTGACAGATCCACTGAATAATACACAAGTAAAGATAGTGGGTCTCCAAGCGGGCAGCTTTCTCATTGGAAACATAAGGGATGTATCCTCACTATTCTTTCAAGGCAATATCTTTAATAATATTAATATGCCTTGGGATGTCCTCACAACGT